CAGTTGGGCAGCTATCCTGCCTAGACGGCCACATTCCTGTGCCTAGTACGGAGGTCGTGGATGTTGGAGGCCTCTCCCCAAACCTCAATTAGGTCCACGATCTCTGCACTAGACCAGGTGGTCGCCTGCCTCCTGCAGCCCCGGGCAGGCTCCTGGGAGCCGCCAGCCTGGTCCTGGGAAGAGGCGGAGGGCTGGTGGTAGCGGGTGGCTGGCTCGTGCCATGCCAGGTGCAGGGTCTGCCTGATGGGTGCTGACAGGCTTGCAACTGGCACAAGCACTGTAGCCAGACCGTGCCCCTTTAAGGGCTCCGGGGCCGGGAGGGGGGCAGAAAAGTTTCCCTGGTTTGGCCCAGAGTGGCCACCAGGGCAACCTGGGAAGGGCTAGCCTCCAACTAGTTCGAATTAAGTGGCTACACAGCCCTTAATTCGAACTACTTAATTCGAACTAGGTGTTACTTCTCATAGAATGAGGTTTACCTAGTTCGAATTAAGCACTCCGCTTAAATTCAAACTAGCAGTTTGTATGTATAGCCCCTATTAAAGTTAATTCAAACTAATAGCTGTTAGTTCGAATTAACTTTGTAGTGTAGACATACCCTAAGTGATGAAGATCTATATTCAGTGGCTGAATAGTTTCAATGAAATTTCAAGAGATCTCTGTGATGAGATCATCTTTCTGAAATGTATACATTCTCCCAACTTTAAATTGGACTGCGAGCCAAAACAACTGCTTCAGCCTATTGACTGAATTTCCTAATATCACAATTGTATTACGTATTTTTGGCAGTCTCCCTGCATCAGTGGCTTCAAGCAAATGCACATTTTTAGGAATGCTTTTCTGTATTTGTTATGTGCAAACTTGCTTACAACTGAAGAAAAATCTCATTTTTGTGCAACATCACAGCTAATGTTAAACATTGCAAGCCCATTCAAATGCTCTTATCCCATTGTAGAACAATGATAGTTCTTTACTTGTTTTAGCATGTTGATTCACCTGAAGCCACTGATGCAGGGAGACTGACAAAAATTATTAAATTCCTCTAATAACTGGTGCATTATTATGAATAGGAACACGGGCCAATTGCCAGATCAGATATACAATTTATTAAACAACTAGAATTAAAAGTTCATCATAATAAAAAAAGCTGATAATAGGTTAATCTAAAACTGGACAAAGAGGTAGCTTACAGCTGAGCCTGATATGTTATTGTATACGAAGACACATAAGAAAAAATAGGAATAGAAAAATCTCCTATGCAGAGACAAACATCTCATTATGGGTAACAGGATTAATTACAACTTTCAAAATATGAGGCCCCTTTGTCTCCTGAGGCCTGGGCCAAATGGCCCTCTGCCATCTGCCTCCCCCTCTCTGCCCCATAAGGTCTGATGGAAACTCACAATTAAAGTTACATTTTTAATATATATCCTATAGGTATAATGACTTAATTGTTTATAAATCTATGTCTCAAGTGTTCATTTTCATATATTCTTTTGGTTTTAGTATGATCCTGTGGATGAGAAGTTAGCTGGGGCTGGGCTGGGGCCCTAAACTCAAAGTGGCCCAGGCCTCTGTCATTCTCTTATAGGGCCTGTTGAAAACCATTAATCAATGGACACCTTTTCAACCAAGCTCTATGAAACATTCACAACTCAGCTCCCCTTTGTGTTAGAAATTCTCTTTTTCTGAGTGTTCCAGATTGCATGGAATACCTGCTGCTTATGAAGAGCCTCCTGGTCTTTCGCTGATTGGTATTGAGCCAATATCCTGTCATCATCCAACTCTTTCCTCCGTCTTTCTTCACTGAAGTACACTGGGATGTTCCTCTGAGCACGCTGCATACACAGATAGCACATTTCCTGGAAGCCCATAGAAATATAAAAGAATGTATTTTATCTCTTTTAACTTTTCACCCTTCTATTCATCTATAATGAACTTCCACAAGTATTCAAGAAAACCCAACCTTCCTATATGTGGTGTTTAAATTAAAATATGAAAGGAAAATTGATTTCTTCTTACTAAGAGCAACTAGAGGCACACTTCCTGGGTAGTGGCAAAGAACCTATTTTGAACACTAATTGGCCCCTAAATATGTAGGCACTTCTGAGAACTCTTAGCACAGCTGGATCTGGAATTGTCTGCCCATGGAAAAAATTACATGAATCCATCAGGAGACAGAAATGAAACTGACCAAAAAAAACTCCTCTCTCTTAGAGTTTGGCTACACTTGCAGCAACATGCAGGGTACATGCCACAGTGAGAGAGAGGCTATATCCACACAGCAGTACATACCAACACACTGCAGTGAAAGGCTCTGGCTGCTCCCCAGTGGCGGAGCCTTTTCTCACTGCCTCCCCCTGCCAAAGCCTTTCGCTGCTGCTGGCCTCATTCACTGCTCCAGCAGCGGGAAGGCAGTGGGACGTGACACTGCTACAAATAGACTCATGGGAGGCATGGCAAGAGTGTGTAGCGAGCCACTCAGAGTATATACCATAGTGTTCTGGCATGTCTTTACTCGCCTAAGCCTTGTCTCACCATCTCCATTGCTACTTATACCTGTGCTGGCTGAGTGCACAGTGTTTGTGCTCTACTCACGGCCCCATGTGTAGACCTGTTTTGACCAGTGATGTAGTTTTAGACTTTATAATTTCCAATTCAGAACAGGAAGCAGAATTTTTCTAAAAAAGCGGCAAAGAGTCCTGTGGCACCTTACAGACTAACTGAAGTGTTGGAGCATAAGCTTTCGTGGGCAAAGACCCACTTCGTCAGATGCACTAGAATTTTTCTAGTTCAGATTGACATGGATACATCAAGCTCATAGAGTAGCCTGGTTTTATGTATAGTCAGATATGCACAAACTGCAAAGTTCACACGTATATTGAGGTATGTCTACACAGCAGAGCTAAAATCCAATTAAGCTACACATGTTGAGCTACACCAATTGTATAGCTTAAGTCAAAATAGCTTAATTCGGCTTTTGGCACTGTCTACACAGCAGGAAGTTGAAGGAAAAACAGTCTTCCTTCAACTTCCCTTGCTCCTCGTGAAATGAGGGTTACCGGAGTTGGAGTAAGAAGTCCTCCAGTTCGACATTATTTCAAAATGATGGCTTGCAATGTAGACACACTCTTCGTTATTTCAGAATAACTGTCAGCATCACTGGGACATAAACCCTAATTAGAGATGCTGCGTGTGCAGAACTTTTGACAAATCTTATTCTATGGATCCTAAATATGCATTTAGAAGCCTAATTTTAAAGGTCTGTTTTTTGAAGATCTGACCCCAAACTTGTAAAAGATCTACAGGATGGCCAGCTGACATGGTTTGAACATAGAAACAGCCACAGTGTATCTGACCCAAGGACCATGTTATCCTATTATCTGACTCTCGTAGTGGCCAGTACCAGAGTTATAGATTCTAAGGCCAAAAGGGAACACTGTGATCATCCAGTCTGACCATCTATGTAATACAGGCCAGCCATAGGACTTCCCCGAAATAATTCCTATCTGAACTATAGCAGATCTTTTAGATAAACATCCAATCCTGATCTTAAACTGGCCAGTGATGAAGAATCCACAGATACCATTGGTAAATTATACCAAGGGTAAATTACCTTCAGTGTTAAAAGACACTTCAGAAGCAGGTGTGGGATAATATGCCCTCGCATCTCCACACACACACTTGACCAAGTCTCTCATCCTGGTCTCTAACAGTTAGTTTGGCTCTGACCTTGAGTCCCAACATTTTTGTTGTCATTAATTATGACTACACTGGATATTCTTGATGTCCAAACTAAACCTTTTTTGAGTCAGAGTGCAGTGTCCCCACATGGCTTTAGTAGCTCCCATAAAACTTCATGGTGTAAAAATAGTTGACAAAATATGCAACCTTAGCACTTGTTTAGGCAAAACAACTATGTGCAAAAGGAAAACTAGTTATTTTCCATAATCACTAATGTATGGAAAGCTTTATGGTTAACATTTCCATAATGTATTTCTATATGCTTCTTCAAAATACAGTGCTGATCAGGGTTTACTCATACATGTATAATGAACTGCATTTCTAAAGGTCCAGTATGAGCTATAAAAACAATAACAGAATGTTATACTGAACAGCCATTAGGGGCAGTTTTAAATCAATCCTCGGGTAACCACATTTTACTATGATTAAAAAGTAACATTATAAGTACATAAGATCCACATATTGTACCTGTCCTGCCCTACCATGATCTTCACAAGGAGGGGATGGAGTTCTAGGTCTGGCTGCCTGATTTAGACTGGGACCACCATCCATTTCAGTCTTTGAGAAAGATGGAACAGCAGGTGATGTTGCACTAGGAATACAAAACAGGACACACAAATCAGTTTATTACAAGGGCTATGTACAGACTCCGCCACACTGGGCATAAGGCAGCTTTGTAGTGGAGTTCCTGGGCATCGCTGAGCAACTACAATGAATGCACATCAGAGGCATATGGTGAGGATACATTCAATAGCATTCATGAGGTCTTGAATTGACCAATAAATAAGGCAGGGAAAGGAAACGTGCATTCAGCTTTCTCCTGTTTCACTGATTGTATTCAAATGAATAGGGAGAGAGAGAGAGAGAGAGATGATCCTGAACCACAACACTCTCGTGTTGTGGAAACTTCCCTAAACTTTTCAGATATCTAAAAGGGTGTCATAAGGAGGAGGGAGAAAACTTGTTCATCTTGGCCTCTGAGGATAGAACAAGGAGCAATGGGCTTAAACTGCAGCAAGGGAGGTTTAGGTTGGACATTAGGAAAAAGTTCCTAACTGTCAAGGTGGTCAAACACTGGAATAAATTGCCCAGGGAGGTTGTGGAATCCCCATCTCTGGAGATATTTAAGAGTAGGTTAGATAAATATCTATCAGGGATGGTCTAGATAGTATTTGGTCCTGCCATGGGGGCAGGGGACTGGACTCGATGACCTCTCGAGGTCCCTTACAGTCCTAGTATTCTATGATTCTAAAGCTCAAGCTGTCCCAGATCCAGGTTCCTCTCTCCATTTAACAAAAAGACAAACTATGTCATTTTAAATGTCATGCAGGATGGACGTGGCACCCTTGGGACACAGGACAGATAAGGAGGGCCCTGAAGGTTGGGAATTTGAGAGGCTCCTCCAGCGGCGCAGTGGATAAGATGCCTGCCTGTGGAGCCAGAGGTTACAGCAGGCATGCATTGTACATACATTTAAATACATCACACGTTGTGAGGTACTACAGTGATGGGGGGCCACAGAAGTACCTAAGATCATAGATTGCTAAGTGACAGATACTGTAAACAAAGAGAAAGCAGTGTGGTGAGAGAACCAATTCTACCTACCTATCAGTCTGACCATTCTACTGTGCCCATGACAGTAATAAGTGTTTTTAGTACCAAAAAAAAAAAAAAAAAAGCTTCTGAGAACTGATTAAAGCCTAAACAAAAAAAGGAGATGGGCACTGTTCTGTCCCCATGGGACATGAGGAAGTTTGAATTTCTCTCTGCTCTGTAAAGCAGTATCAATTAAATTAAAACAAAGAGCTCCTACATGTTTAATCATGGTTGAGTTGGGTCTCAGTCACCACCCAGAACAGCGGTTTTTGTAAAACAAAGCTCAGACAAGCAGTGAAAACATTAGAAGCCATAGGCAAGCGCTTTGATCCTTGCTTCCATTAAATGTTAATAAACCGCAGACTGTTCTCATCAAGCAGGAGAATTGGGTTCACTGGACTCCACAGTGAATGGTAAGAGGATCCGGAACCTCATGAATAATTATTTACATTTGTTTACCAAATTATCAGATACAAAATGGAGATGGTGTCAGAAGAAAATGAAGTAGACACCAAACACTCAAAAACCTTATCATACCTCCCAGCTAGCAAGAAACTGGGATAAGCCAATGGTACCTCCTTACAGTAGAGCTGGAGATTTTTAAAGGGTTGTTGCATGATAAAAGCTGCAGTCCATGGGAATTTTTAAGCTTTCATTAAATAAAAGTTTATTTCCTAAGTTAAAGAAAATAAGCTGGTACAATGATCCACTAATCTAGGGATGAGTTCAAAGTTAGTGTCTCAGGAACATTCCATGGAAAATGCCCATTTATACAATTCACCCCAAATAGCTTAGATTTTGACATGTTTGTACAAAAATTCTAATAAACATAAATTAAATCTACTTACTTACCTGACTTCAGAGGATTACTGTTAATGGACACAAAAATACAAAATACTGACCACATTCTAAAGCCGGGCTGGGCAAAATATGGCCCGGGGGCCGGATCTGGCCTGCAAAGCCACGGGATCCAGCTCGCAGGCCACCCTGCCGGGACACTCAGGAACACAGCTGCCGCAGGTTTAAAGCACAATCCGGTGGCTCTCTGCTCTGAGGGAAGGGAAGACTTTGTGTGATCTCCCCACCCCCAGCCCAATCCTCAGTTCCTATTGGCCAGAAACAAATGGCCAATAGAACTTGACCCCAGCCAATCTTGCAGTTCCTATTGACTGGAAACAACCAGCCAAAAGGAGCTGAGAGATTGGCCTGGGAGATGGGGTCAGTGCAAGCCTCTTCCCCTTCCTGGAGCTGGCAGCCATGTGGAATAAGGATGTTAAAATGCGGTTAATTGACTAGTCAACTAGTTGATAGGTCCTTCCGCATTCCTCTTTTGAAAAGTACAAGAGCCCCCACTGAGGCTCTTGTACATTTCAAAAGAGGAATGCTGAACTCCACGTGGAGCCCGGGGCCAGCGGAAAGTCCCGCCGACTCCAGGCTGCATGCGGGTGCCTGCTTTGAAATGCCCAAGAGTCCCCAGTGGGGGCTCTTGTGCATTTCAAAGCCATGGAACCCGGGGTCAGCGGGGTACTAAGAGTCCCCCACTGACCCCTGGTTCCATTGTATGCTTCATGCTGCTAGGAGCCCAGGGTCAGCTGGGGAGTCCTCAGCTGACCCTGGGCTCCACTGTTCCTTTGAAACATGCAGAGGTGGTAATTCAAAGGGGCAGTGGAGCCCAGGGTCAGCTGGGGACTCCCCAGCTGATCCCAGGCTCTGCGTGGCATTTCCCCAGAACCTGATGTCAGCTGGGGACTCCCCCCCAGAACCCGGGTTCAGCTGAGGATTATCCCCCAGAACCTGGGGTCAGCTGGGGATTGCGGCGCCTGCCCCTTTAAAACGCCACCTGTGGCGTTTCAAAGGGGCAGCTGCCGTGGAGCCCGGGGTCAGCTGGGGATTCCCAGCTGATCCTGGGCTCTGTGCAGCAGCAGAACCCAGGGCTCTGGGGAAATTCCGCGCAGACACCGGGACCAGCTGGGGACTTCCCAGCTGACCCCAGGCTCCACTGCTGCCCCTTTGAAACACCGCCTCTGGCGTTTCAAAGGGGCAGCTGCCCTGGAGCCCGGGGTCAGCCGGGGACTGCACAGCTTGTTCTGGGATCCCTGTGGCAGCGGAGCCCGGGGTCAGCTGGGGAGTCCCCAACTCATCGCAGGTTCTGGGGAAATGCCACGCAGAGCCCAGGATCAGGGAGTCCCCAGCTGACCCTGGGCTCCAGGGCTTCCCCTTTGAAATGCCAATAGCTGTCCAGCAGCTGCCCTTTTGAAACACTGCCTTGGGGTTTCAAAGCGGCAGCACCACACAGCTGTGCGGCGCTGCCACTTTGAAGTATCCCTTTCCCCCCTTTGCTGCCTCTATTATAGAGGCAGCAAGGGGGGCAGAATCGACAAGTCAAAAGCTTATAGGATAGTTGACTAGTCTTTAACATCCCTAATGTGGAGGGAACAGCCTGCAGCTCTAAGCGATCTGGGGCTGCAGCAGGCAGGGAGCCCAGCCTGCCTTGGGGAGTGCTGCAGGGCTGCTGGATTAGGTAAGTGCCTCCCAGCCGGAGCCTGCCTCTGGCACCCTTGCCCCTCCCACACCCCATCTTCCTCCCCCAGGTCACCATCCAAACCCTCTGCACACTCTGCCCCAGGTCACAATTCCCTCCCAGCCTCTGTACCACATTCTACCCCCTCCCCCAGGCCAGCATCCTCTTCTGCACCTAAACACACTCCCAGACCCAGCACCCCAATTCTCTGATGCAGGTCCCAACCCCCTCCTTCACCCAAATTCCCTCTCAGACCTCACACCATCTCCTGCACCCTGGGCCCTTACCCGATGTGCCCTTCTGCACCCAACCTCCATGCTAGACCCCACATCTCTTCCACAGAAAAGTGCAGCCCTTGACCAATTTCCAAAATCTTGGAGTGGCTCCCCCACCAAAAATTGCCCATCCCTGTTCTAAAGCCTTTACTCAGAACTCCAGGCTATGTCTACACTACGGGGGATATTTTGCAGAAGCTTTCAGAAGCTCTGTCTCCCTCCTTCCACAAGGAAAAAGGGCTCTTCCGGAAGAGAAGGTTTTTCCAAAATTTGGCGCAGTGTAGATGGGCCAAATTTGGGAAAAGCCTGTTCTGAAAAACTATCAAAAAAAGGTACGCAAATTGTGGAGCGCAATTTGTATACCTTTTTCCGATAGATCATTGTAGTCTAGACATAGCCCCTACTGCCACATCAAGCAGATTCAGGGAACAATTTTAAAAGTGCCTAAATGAGTTAGGAGCCTATTTGCCATTTTCATAAATGACTCAAGTACTTAAAAGCTGAAATCTCACTGAACGATAATGGAAAGTAAACTCCTAGAAGTGGGACTCATAAGGGGAAACTTAGGTGCCCAACTAACAATTTAGGCATTTAAATCCAAAATTGTAGGTCTTCAAAACCCACCAGTCAGATGCTGGCTAACCCTGGGCCCCTAAGAACTTAAGTTTCAACTGGTAATATCCACTAGGTGGGGCACCTGGCATTGGCCACTCACAGAATACAGGATACTGTCCTAGATGGACCTTTGGTCTGACCCAGTATGGCCTTTCTTAGGTGCCTAAATTTCTGTTAGTGTACAGTCAATGTCCTGATACCACCAAGCAGCTCAGCACTTAACTGCTCCTAAGTCCCAATGGAATTCACAAATTAGGCATTCTCCAGCCTGTCTCACCTGCAGCGCCTGATCCAGTAAACATGCTCAGCATGTCTATCAATAAAGCTTTGAACAAAACACAACACCTGGATGAGGAGGAAAAGGTAGTGTGGATGACTTAGGTGCCTAACCTGTTTGATGCTTTTGAAAATCCCACTAGGCACTTATCTGCATCTTTAAGTGCCTATATTCCTTTGGAAATATATCCCCAATTCATATTTGAAAATGCAATTTAGTCACTTTTGAAAATTTTACTCCCCTTCCTCCTTACACACACAGTTTAATAAATAATTTTTTTTCCCCCTTCACAATTAATAGACACTATTGCAATGGGAAAAAATTGTATGCATTTAAGTGCAAGATGGAGACACTAGAAAGCTTATTGTTACCCTTATCCACTTATCCCTGGGAGTCTCACCTTTCAGGGGCATTCTTCTGCTTGATGTTCTTCTCCAGCTCATCGGTCAGACTGAACGCTGACACCTTGGCAGGAACAATAGATTGTCGGGACACAAGGCGCTTCACGGGAAGATTCTCTATACATGTGAAACAAGGCAAATCGCAAGAAAAGCATTGCTGTGACAACTTTCTCTCAATAACATCTGATTTATGTCTCTCTTCATGCCTTATCCCAAAGTTGACAACCTAGTTTCAGACCCCATTCCTTGCCCATCAGTAAAGCACAATACAGAAGGTGGCTCATTGGGCTGAGACTACATACTTGTCTCTGCAGGCAAAGAATGCCAGGATAAGCTAGGTGTGAAGGTAAACCAATATATTTATACTGGTATAATTCCCCAGGTGGGCACTTACACCAAAATAAGTGACCATGCATGGAATTAGTCATTTATTGTTACCAAGATACTAATAACAATTTCCTTTGGAGATAAACTCTAAGCAGAGGAATTCATAGTGCTGAAGGATTATTTATGTGATATTTATGAGCAACTTGAACATGAGGATTAGAATGAATATTGCTTCCCAGCTTTAAAGATAATATTTTGTAGTGGCATTGGCTGGCAGACTTCAAATGTTCATCATGGGAGGATGCTTTCTTTCCAAATAAAAACCAGCTGTGATTGTCTGAGGCATGCCCCATAGTGGAAAGCTAATAGATGTTCTGAATTTTCAATGCTTTTTGCCTAACCAAACTCATAAAACTGCATAGCGTTTTGCAATACCATCCACTTATTAGCGGTATTATGGTGAAAGTAACCTGTGGAACTGGGAGGGCTTGACCCTTTCCAAGAAGTTTGATGATGAAGGGATGCCTAACATAGTGAATGCTAGTGGAAATGGGGTACATTTAGAAGTTAAAATTAAAAAAGAATAAGTTAGAAAAGGTAGACGTCTGCAAGCCACCAGGGCCTGATTAAATGCATTCTAGAATACTCAAGGAGCTGAAAGAGGAGGTATCTGAGCCTTTAGCTATCATCCTTGAAAAATCATGGAAGTCAGGAGAGATTCCAGAAGGCTGGAAAGGGGCAAATATAGTGCCTGTTTATAAAAAAGGAAATAAGAACAACCCAGGAAACTACAGACCAGTCAGTTTAACTTCTGTGCCAGGAAAGATAATGGAGGAGGTAATTAAGAAACATCTGGAAGAAAATAAGGTGATATGTAACAGCCAGCATGGATTTATAAAGAACAAATCATGTCAAACTAATCTGATAGCTCTTTTTTTGATAGGATAACAAGTCTTGTGAATAAGGGAGAAGCAGTGGATGTGGTATATCTAGACTTTAGTAAGGGATTTGATATAGTCTCGCATGACCTTCTTATCAATAAATTAGGCAAATACAACTTAAATGGGGCTACTATAAGGTGGGTACATAACTGGCTGGATAACCATTCTCAGAGAGTAGTTATTAACGGTTCATAGTCATGCTGGAAAGGCATAACAAGTGGGGTTCCACAGTGGTCTGTTTTGGGACTGGTTCTGTTCAATATCTTCATCAACAATTTAGATGATAACATAGAGAGTATGCTTATTTAGTTTGCAGATGATACCAAGCTGGAAGAGGTTGCAACTGCTTTGGAGGATAGGGTCATAATTCAAAATGACCTGGACAAACTGGAGAAATAGATTGAGGTAAATAGGATAAAGTTTTATAAGCACAAATGCAAAGTACTCCACTTAGGATTAAACAATCTATTTCACACATACAGGATGGGAAGTGACTTTCTAGGAAGGAGTACTATGGAAAAGGATCTAGGGGTCATAGGGTGTGTCTAGACTACAGAGTTTTTTGAAAAAATGGCCTTTTTAAAAAAAAACTTCACCTGCATCTAGACTCCTGCCATGTTTTTTTGAAATTAAATCCCAAAAAATAATTATCCATAACTAGTGAGCTTAATGATAGAAATTTAGCCGTGTTAGTCTGGTGAAACAAAATACAGGACTATGTAGCACTTTAAAGACTAACAAGATGGTTTATTAGATGATGAGCTTTCGTGGGCCAGACCCACTTCCTCAGATCAAATAGTGGAAGAAAATTGTCACAACCATATATACCAAAGGATACAATTAAAAAAGATGAACACATATGAAAAGGACAAATCAAATTTCAGAACAGAAGCGGGATGGAGGGAGGGGAAAGGGGGAAGGTAAATGTCTGTGGGCTAATGATAACCAGACTAACACGGCTACATTTCTACCACTATTCTTTTGAAAAAATTCGTTATTGTATGCAAAGAGTGCTTTTTTGGAAGAGAGCATCCAGATTGCCTGTGTTGCTCTCTTTCGAAAAAGCGGCTCTCTTTTTCAAAAACACTGGTTGCTGTCTAGATGCTCTCTTTCGAAAGAGGCTTGTCGTCTAGACATAGCCATAGGGGACCACAAGCTAAATGTGAGTCAATAGTGTGACACTGTTGCAAAAAAGCAAACATGATCCTACCTGCCAGGGTGGTTAAACCCTGGAATAAATTGCTTAGGGAGGTTGTGGAATCTCCATCACTGGAGATATTTAAGAGCAGGTTAGACAGACATCTATCAGGGATGATATAGATAGACAGTGCTTGGTCCTGCCATGAGGGCAGGGGACTAGACTTGATCTCTCAAGGTCCCTTCCAGTTCTAGTATTCTATGATTCTATGAATTGCATGACTGATCATTGCCATGATGGAGGCTCACAACTATTACATTTGTGTCACAATACATGCAAACTGCACACTTTTAAACCTGGCCCCTATTGTCTAATAAGTGAATGATAATGAACCTATATCACTATTCAGTTCACTGTTAACTCTACCTTTCTTACTGCTACTATTACTATGAACTCTCTCTTTTTCTATTGGCTCTTTTTCTTTGTTCGACTTTTCACATTCTTCTATGATAGTTTCCAGGGCTGCTTTGTTGTCTGTTTCCTTCAGCTCAATCCTGGAAACAAGGAAAATACATCAGTCTGTTTTGTAGAACTTATGCCTGAATAGAAGGCAAAATATATGCATTAGCAACCTGGTCCAACCACTATCTTTAGCACTACTGTAAAGACTGTCATTTTCAAAAGCGAAATATACAAGAGCCAGGCACCCAGCCCGGAAGGCACAGCCCCCTGCCCTCCAGTAGCAGTGCAGAAATAAGGGTGGCAATGTCATATCATGCCATCCTCACTTCTGCACTGCTGCTGGCAGTGATGGTGCTTTTAGAGCTGCGCTTTCAGCCAACAGCTGCCATTCCAGCCAACAGCTGCCAAAGAGAAATGCAAAGTGCTCCACTTAGGAAGGAACAATCAGTTCCATACATACAGGATGGGAAGCGACTGTCTAGGAAGGAGCATGGCAGAAAGGGATCTAGGGATCATAGTGGACCACAAGTTGAATATGAGTCAACAGTGTGATGCTGTTGCAAAAAAAGCAAATATGATTCTAGGTTGTATCAACAGGTGTGTTGTAAGCAAAACTCGTGAAGTCATTCTGCTGCTCTACTCTGCACTAGTTAGGCCTCAGCTGGAGTATTGTGTCCAGTTCTGGGCGCCACATTTCAAGAAAGATGTGGAGAAATTGGAAAGGGTACAGAGAAGAGCGACAAGAATGATTAAAGGTCTAGAGAACATGACCTATGAAGCCAGGCTTCATGAACTGGGCTTGTTTAGTTTGGAAAAAAGAAGATTAAGGGGGGACATGATAGCGGTTTTCAAATATCTAAAAGGGTGTCACAAGGAGGAAGGAGAAAATTTGTTCCTCTTGGTTTCTGAGGACAGGACAAGGAGTAATGGGCTTAAAGTGCAGCAGGGGAGGTTTAGATTGGACATTAGGAAAAAATTCCTAACTGTCAGGGTGGTCAAATATTGGAATAAATTGCCAAGGGAGGTGGTGGAATCTCCCTCTCTGGAGATATTTAAGAACAGGTTAGATAGACATCTGTCAGGGATGGTGTAGGTGGAGCTTGGTCCTGACTTGAGGGCGGGGGGCTGGACTCGATGACCTCTTGAGGTCCCTTCCAGTCCTATTATTCTATGATTCTATGATTCTCCAACTGCCCAGATCTGAAGGAAGCTTCACTTCCAGCAGCAGCACAGAAGTTAGGGTGGTAATATCACAACCCCCCTACAAAAACCTTATGACACCCCCCCCACACACACACAACTCCTTTGTGGGTCAGAACTACTAAACTTACAACAAAGTGAAGTTTCAGATTTAAATGGCTGAAATAATACAATGTATGATTTTTAAAATTCTATAACTATGAAGTAGACCAAAACGGACCATGCCTTTGGTAGGTCCCTCTCCATGTTAAAGGCTTTATCAGCATGAATATGGGATTCAAACCATCCCACTCTAATAAACCCTTCTGATGATCACACCACATCAATATACCAGGTAATCTGTACAGGCTACACACTTGACAGAAATGTGACTATTGTAGATGCTTTGGAAAGTAATAAACATTTCATCAGTGCTATGTCTTATGTTCCCCTTCATTCAAAGCCAGGCTCCCATTGAATCCCAGCCTGCAAGGTGAAAGAGAGCACTGTTAAGTACTCAGCATCTTCCACTGTGTGGAAAATGCGCTGAGCAATTTGGTAATGGGTACTCAGCACCTCTCATGATCAGCCTCTCAGTTATCTGCAGGTCACCCAAATGAGACTCAGAAGGAGAGGAAAAAATATAACAAATATATTTTAGAAACCTCTGAAAATTACTTAAAATATCATGACAGCACCATAATTTTACAGAAACGAGTGGTCCTGTGACACAAGCTCATGATACTATATAGTTTTGTTAGTCTCTAAGGTGCCACAGGACTACTCATTTGGGTTTTTTTAAGTTACAGACTAACATGGCTACACTTCTGAGACAGTTCATGATGTATTAGAAATAAAAACAAATTACTTATACTATTGGAAAGTCCTTATTTTCTAATGGTGAAAATTTACCCTTGATGCTTCACATTTATGCTGTTACATAAATGGATAGTTCCTGTTCTGAACAAGTAGGGGCAGGAAGGATGAGACAGGATGGAGTGCCTTCAGAGGGGGAAAAATGGAAATGGTTCCCTGGGAGTCTGGGGCTATGTCTACACTATGGGTATCCCAGAAAAACTCAGCTTGTCCGGGGAACGCATCTGCTCAACCGCTTTTTTTTTTGCGGAAGAGCAGATGTGCTCTTTCGGAAGCCCTGTCTTCCTCCTCCCCCGGGGAAGAAGGGCTCCTCCGAAAGAGGTGTTTTTTCTGAAATTTGGCCCAGTTTAGGCAGGCCAAATTTAGGAAAAACCTCTTCCAAAAAACTACCGAAAAAGGTACACAAATTGTGGAGCACAATTTGTGTACCTTTTTCTGATAGGTCATTGTAGTGTAGATATAGCCTAGGTACCTCAGTTAAGTTAGAAAGGGAAGAAAATTACCACAGTCCATTGATGCTGATGGAAGCAAGATATCATTTAAACTTGTTGACATGTGACTTTCTCCTCTGGATCTTCTATCCAGCAGACTAGAAATAGGAATTCATTCAATTGAATGCCACATATACCAGTAAAATTACATGACAACATGACTTTTGTAAGTCTCAAGCCAGATCCATAATATAAGGGAAACTGTTCATGTAAAAATCAGGTAGAGTGATGTATTTAAACTCTTTGAAATCTTACGCAAAAGAAAAAACAAGGCAGATGAAGCATTGTGAAAAACATTATCTAATTTCATCTACACTTGGAAGTTAATTCAGACTATGGTAAAGTGTGAAATTAAAGAACAACAACTATTCCTAAATAACTACATGAGTGGACTCTCTTATCCTGGGATAACAGTGCCTTGTTCCAATCTCACTTAATCCTTTTTTAAAGAATAAGATGCCCACACATAGAGTTATCCTGGAATAGCTACCCTGAATAGATATTCTGGAGTAATAATTCCATGTGTAAACAAGCCTTGACACAATAGATTCAGGGCTACCAAATGTAAGTTAGGAGTTGCTAGCTTGGCCAGTGAACTGGTAAAGAAGCAAAAGTACTCACCTTGGAAACATGACAACACTGCAGGCACGGGACTGAGACATAGCAGTTTCTCTGCCTGAAATTACTGAATCACCCGTTCCGGGTCTCTACAACAACGACAGACATTCAAGATGACTCGGAGATCATTTTCTAGCAGGTAACAAACAAGGCAACACTTTCTACTTATATAACAAAAGGCTTCTGTTCCAAAATCTTGTCACAAAATTCTATTTTGTTCACATTTGCTCTTCAGTTGAACTGGTGGAATCTGTCCCAGCCAACCACTGATAATGGATTGGATGATAATATTGTCATAATTTCTGAATGGTCAGAAATCATTAGACTCAATAAAGAGACTATTTCCTTTCCAGTAGAGAAGCAAGAGGAGACAGGCACATGCTTAAAACCTGTTACTAGCATGATTTCAAAGCACTGCTTAGTTGCTGGTTTGTACAGTTCTGCAGATTATTTGCTTGAACAGATAGCAATTATTTCAGACAGCAATTAGTTTAAGGTTTTATTCACAAAGCTGAAGCAATTCTTTCCCACAACTAAAATGTCTACCCTTGTACAAGGAGAGACACAGACTGAGTCAGGCCGCCTTTGCCCAGAGTACTATTATTCGTTATTATTTGTACAATAGCAATGACCAGAGGTGCTGACTGGGGCCCTGTTGTGCTAAAGGTTGAACAAACATGTAGACAAGAGACAGTCCCCATCCCAAAGAGCATTATGACAAGATGCAATATGTAGGCTGGGGAGCAAGACACTAGTTAGAACTCAGGAGATCAGGGTTCTGTTCCAGAATCTATCACAGTCTTCTGGTGTGCCCTTGGGCAAATCTCTTAGGGCACATTTACACAGCAGGACTAAAGCTGAAATAAGCTACACAATTGTAAGTCAAAAAAGCTTATTTCAGATTTTGGTACTATTTACACAGCAGAAAGTCCGATAAAGAGCACTCTTCCTCCAACTTCCCTTACTCCTCATAAAATGAGGGCTACAGGAGTCAGAGTAATAAGTCCTCCAGCTTGACATTGTTTTGACATTATGTTGAAATAACTGCTTATAGTGTAGACGCAGACTATGTTATTTTAGAATAAGATCAGTTATTCCGAAATAACACTGCTGTGTAGATGTACCTTTAGGGAATGTCTAAACTACAATCAGAGGTGTGACTGCAACAGTAACAGCTAATTCGAGTTAAGGGGTTTACTTTGAACTCCCATTTCACTGCCATGTGTAGACGCGGGCAGTTATTCCGGACTAGTCAGTTTCCAAAATGGTGACCACCCGGGAACATGCTAATGAAGCACGGGATATTTAAATCGCGGGCTTCATTTGCAATTTCGGTCACCCTCATTAGCCTCCCTAGTTCGAACTAAGGGGCTAGTATAGACATACCCATGTAGATATATCCAAAATAATTTTAATCTAGCAAGCTCAGGCATCCATAGCAGTGAAGTCATGGCAGCACAAGCTAGCCTCTTGAGTGCATACTCAAGACTGCCTAGAAGTCTCATACCATGAATAAAGCTAGCTTGGGTATGTCTAAATGTGCTGCATTTGCACCTCCAATTTCAGTATAGACATACTTCAGATGTATGTGCTTCAGTTTCCCATCTTTATTATAAAGATAACAACATTTCCTTTGAGCTATCCTGTCTGTTGACACTGTATGCACTGTTGATCAGGAACTGTCTCTTACTACATGTATCCACAGCACCAAGCCCAACAATGCTCTATACCTAGTAGAGGCATCTAGGCACTACTAGAAAACAGATAATAATACATTTTAATAATATGTGAGGACAAGGTAATAATTTAGTACAAGACTAGCTCTGTGCACAATGTTACTTACCACCTGCCTAAGAGGCATGATACTTATTCAAAATAATTGAAGTGCCCTTGGGGAAATGATAAACTTACATTGGAAAGAGCTTTCACCAGGTTGCCACTGCCATCCATAGCTTGAAGGAAATCTTTGTAAAATTTCATTTTCACTTTGTTGTCCCGGACAGCGAGAACTCCAATTCCCTTGAAAGTGAATTCGACATTCTGTTTGGTAGCGATGGATCGTGAGAAAAAAAGCAGGGTCTCTTTTATACATCCTTCCACTATCTCCCTGTTAAAGGGACCCTCCAGGGATAACATGATGAAGTTCAGTTGAACAATTGGGATATCACCTGAAAGCAACAATCAGGGAACCCAGTACTTCAAACAGCAAGAATACTTCCCAAATCACAGCAGCAACCCCACAAGGCTGTGAATTAATCAATCATATTTTGCACTTAAGTAGCACCTTCCTATGAGAGGCTCAAAACTCTCTATAACCATGAATAAAGCCTCACACAACCCTTATGGTGTTGTTAGCATGTTCATTTTACTAACCTTCTTACAACTCCATACAGCAAGAGTGCAGAACCTAAGGCCTGGGGGCCGAATCTGGGCATCCCCCCTGCACTGGGAGCCCGGGATGGTACTCTGGCCCCTCTGCTGACCCACTAAGGGCTGGCGCATACAAAATCTACTAGCCTGGTCCCTTTGGTGTGTGAGGGGAATGTCTTTCTCCTTCTCAGTCAGGGGCCATGTCAGTGAGGGTTTTGTGTTATTTTTGTTTTTCCCTTCTTCTTACTTGTGTGCAGCCCCCAACTGATTTTTCTGTGGGTCAGTGGACCCCACCCCAAATAAGGTTTGCCACCCCTGCCATATAGCTTGTCGTCATGGACAGTCGGTGCAGCTGGAGCTGAGGGGAGGCAGGCCTCCTGCCCCACCTACAGCCCTACCCCCTCCACTGAGGCCTTGACCTCACCACGGGGAGGGGAAGAACATGTGTGTCCCCTTCCCCACAGAGGGGGAAGAATGCGTGCACCCCAGGTTCCCCAGAGCACCAGAGAGGGAAGAGGCTGTGTGGCCCTAGCCAGCCCGAGCCTCCCTGGCCCCCTGGAGCATCAGGGAGGGAGGAAGCTGTGCCACCCAAGCTGGCTTGAGCCTCCCCAGCCCCCAGAGCACTGAGAAGGGCGAGCAGCATGAATCTCCAGCTTCCCTGGCCTGGAGCAGCAGGGAGAGCAGGCACTGGGGGCAGCAACACTCTTCCAGAATACCTACAGCAGGCGTTCTGGGTGGGGGGAAGGAGGAGGCATGGACAGGGCCATGCCTGGCAGTTTGGGAAGGCTGTGCCTTCTCCCACCTATGATACCAGATGCCCATTCTCATCATTCTGAAGGATCCCAAACTCTTTGAAAAGAAACTGCTATACTAGCTTTACAGGGATAATTTATTCAATATGAAAATACTAAAATGAAATATGGCAATTATATAACACCAGATTTCAGGGCAGGAAGTGAAGAATATTGTATGTAGTTCAAATGGAATGTGAAGCCAGAGTAGGAATTTAACCAGGACCCCTACTCTTAAATACAATGATGAAGGATCTTTGATAACCACAAATAGTCAGAACTTTTATTTTGCACCTCATCTTAGAGACAGCGGGACTGATTCTGCACTCATTAACTCCACATAGCTATCTCAATGCACATATACCCAACGTAATGTAGAGGAGAATCAGGCCTGGTCTACACTCAGTTTTTGTACCAAATTAACTGTTTCAGTTAAGAATACAATTTTTAAACAGAGACTGTTAAATAGTACCACCATGAGTACATACGTATTTATATAGGCATCATAAAGGTGTCATATCTTTATAACTTATTATGGGAATAAGCATTACCTGTACAAATACAGCGAGTCCTACAATAAGCAATATCCTGTATTAGGCACCATGATAACAGAGTAACTGTATCCACACTCAATATCGATTTAATTATACCCATTTCAAAGCAATATAGTTAAAATGGTACAAAATAGTATGCTGGCCAGTTCTTAGCACTCCTGCCTTCAATAGTACAGTGCCCTAGCAATTTCTCTGCCTTCTGTACCAGTAGTCTGTCATCAGGGGGCACCAGACTGAGACTCAAATTCAGAAAAAGATTTTTTTTCCCCACACAGCCTCATGGTTGCTGCTCAAGGGACATAATCAAAACCATTGCTCCCCACTCTGTGAAACCATGGTGGTACTGAAGTGAAACTACTCTGTTCAGTAGCTGTATAAGTGCTTCATATTGTTTGTTCATGTCTATCTTAAGCAGAGCCGACAGTCAATTATTAAAGTGTGTGCCACTAAAATAAAATTAAAAAACTGTTGCAGGCCACTTTTGACTAGGAATTGTGCATGTGTAAAACCTGATACAAAGCTTTAAATTTGTAGGGCTGAAATATTGCGCAAGATGTATACAGAACTTCAATGGTAATAAAGTTTATTAAAATATATTGCAGCTACTATAAAAGCTCTATGGATCATAGAATCATAGAATACTAGGACTGGAAGGGACCTCAAGAGGTCATCGAGTTCAGTCCCCTGCCCTCATGGCAGGACCAAGTACTGTTTAGACCATCCCTGATAGACATTTATCTAATCTACTCATAAATATCTCCAGAGATGGAGATTCTACAACCTCCCTGGGCAATTTATTCAAGTGTTTGACCACCTTGACAGTTAGGAACTTTTTCCTAATGTCCAACCTAAACCTCCCTTGCTGCAGTTTAAGCCCATTGCTTCTTGTTCTATCCTCAGAGGCCAAGATGAACGTTTTCTCCCTCCTCATGACACCCTTTTAGATACCTGAAAACGGCTATCATGTCCCCCCTCAATCTTCTCTCTTCTAAACTAAACAAACCCAATTCTTTCAGCCTTCCTTCATAGGTCATGTTCTCTAGACCTTTAATCATTCGTGTTGCTCTTCTCTGGATCCTCTCCAATTTCTCCACATCTTTCTTGAAATGTGGTGCCCAGAACTGGACACAATACTCCAACTGAGGCCTAGCCAGCGCAGAGTAGAGCGGAAGAATGACTTCTTGTGTCTTGCTCACAACACACCTGTTAATGCTTCCCAGAATCATGTTTGCTTTTTTTGCAACAGCATCACACTGCTGACTCATATTCAGCTTGTGGTCCACTATAACCCCTAGATTCCTTTCTGCCGTACTCCTTCCCAGTCGCTTCTCATTCTGTATGTGTGAAACTGATTGTTCCTTCCTAAGTGGTATTACACGGTCAGAAGGTAAAAGTAGAAACATTCTAACCTTGCATAGGATATAAATGTAAAAGTGATGGTGTCTTGTAAAGAAATTCCCTCTTGTTGGTGTCTTATCAACAAAGCCTATGTTATTATCAGTTGTTCCTTTTGAAGGAATTTTATATATATGTCACGTTTGGATGCTTAGCTATTAATCTTGTCAGATATTTTATAGCACAGTACAAATATGTTGCAAGGAAAAGAAAATTCCATAATCAAACTTCTTACCAGGAGTGTGTATTTTGGCAATTTTGAGTCCATGAGTCTGTGCTAGTTTCTCGGACAGAAGAAACACAGGTCGTTGCATAAGGATAAATTTATTGTTGCCGACATCTAATTTTTGTCTTAAAAAGGAGAATGTTCCAAGCCCTGGTATTTGAACACCCTGAAACACAAGCAATAATAAATATTCAAGCAGAAGGAGAAACATTTTGATTTGATATAATCACGATCAATTCATAATTTATCACAGAGCATGTCCTTTCCACCCACAACTTATGTTTTCCTGGGCAGGGGAGAGGGATGGACAGTTCTTAGAGTTCTCTGGAAACATCAAAAAAGTGTTAAGCTTCCTTACATATAGATCTACTTTGGGATTTTTTTAACTAATTTGACTATGATACACTATGCTAACTAACCCAGTTAACAAGGTAAGAGAAGTCTGTGGCACCTTTGTGGACTACAACGTACCTTTAATTTGGTTTGCCTCTTGCATGACTCTGGCTTTAGGAGGAGGCATGCATAACAGGTTTTAGTGGCATGGGCATGCATCAGAATCATTGGAAACATTTAAATTTAAGAGGTGGAATAAGATGTGCGGAATCCTACCTTGTTCATAGAGAGTTGCCTTTCCACAAATTCAGACACGTTGGCCCAAATACTAAAGACTTCTAAAATGCAAATGAAACATAATATGCGATGATCTCTAGATGACAAGCACAGAAGTTCATCACACTCCATGGCAAATAGAAGCCTTCTTTTCTTACTAATAGCACTTCAGGATCTCACTGTAATCACAAGCATCCTGCATACCTTATATATACACTACAGGGCAATGGTTCTTGCTCCATAGTTAAGATTTCAGCCAAGGTCCACTTTAAACCTTATTTGGATCTCAGTTCTTTCTAAAACCCTCAGTAAGAGTCTGGGGGTGAAACAGATTTTTCTATAAATTCTAAATGATTTCAACGAGGAGTTCCTGCATCCTGACACATAAAAGTAGGAGTGGTCAGAGTTCAAAAATTAGTTTTGCTCAGATTTTTAATATGGAACAATACGAAGGCCTTTTGTTTCAGGCAATCTAGAGATAGCACAGCAAAACACCACAGGAAGCTTAACTCTTTCATTAAAACAAATACCCCTCTTCCTTTCAAAAACAAACTTTAAACCCAGTCACTAGGGAAACTTGTCAAAGGAATTTCCAAGCAAAATCTTCTGAGAGGTCTGGACTAGCCCTTCTGAGTCTCAGAGGAACAACTGCAATCAACAATGCTCTTATATTTCATACACCATGTTTTTGTTTAAGCTATATGTTAGCCACACACTCTACTCTTCTAGCGCTCCAAACACTTAACTAAAATGAGTTAAGTTGGACAATCCCCCCTCTTATGAGACTAGTATTTCTCCCATTTTTACAGATGAGGAAACGGAGATCCAGGCTTCTGTCCAAAGGTCATGCAGGAAGTCAATGGCAGACTCAGGAATAGAACCCAGACACCCAGGCTGCCATGCCTGTGCCTATGGCATGTAGCGCTGTCGGGTGAGTGGCAGGATGGATGGGCATCCATGACATGCACCTAACACACAAAAGAGCTCTGGTGTACACACGCTGCTGTATGTAAGAGTCTTCCCAGTGAAAGTCATAGGAGTCAGACTCTGGGGGTTGGGAAGGCCTTACCGTCTGCTGTGAGCTTTGGGAGCGTCGGGAACACACTCTTGCCCGATTCGAGGATTGCAGCATGGATATTGTCCAACATTTTTACAACCCCCACCAAGGTGAAGAAGCAGAAAGCATAGAGACTAATGTTGCTTTTCCTCTTCCAGGAGGCTGTCACTTTCCTTCCTTCCTGCCCACCTCACCCCTCACTTTCCCTCTCCTTGAGCACACTGCCCTCCTAGCCTCTCCCCCATCCCCTGCTCCCTCCTCCGAGACTCTGAAGGAAGGAGAGGGCAAAAAAGCCAGCTGCTGGGACCAGGGATCAATGGGGGAGGCACCGGTGAGGGGAGGAGGAGCCGTATCCAGGACGCGAGAGAGGCTCACGGTTGCTAGGGATGACGTCATAATAGGAAGTCTAGAGCCCCGCACACCAGTCAGTGCCTGCCAGAGCTGCTGCCCCAGGCTGCCGGCGGAGATGATCCTAGGTGTGTGTGTCGCAGTGCAAGTGTCAGCCCTGTCATGTCCAGGCAGGAAGGGTTTATTTGTATTTGCTCTTTTATTAAGTTCTAACCCTGCAAATGGCCACAAGTCCTTAGTGGCTTAAGGGCAAAATTTTCCTTTGTGAAGTTAATCTACTTTCAGCTTGATGAGAATAAAAAGACTAAACAGTAAAGCCAACATGAATCCTCTTTCAAATGCAACTGCACACGAGTGCCAAAGTTTTTAATTCCTGAAACCGCTTAATACAAAATGCTGCTGTTTAAAATATCTGTATATGCTCTATACTGCATGAATGGTTTAGGAATTTTTATATAGTGATCAAAATCAATTTAGAATGAAAGACAGAGTTGAACGGTAGAGCCTTAGCAGCATACAGTTTGCATAACTAGTATTTCATTGTGGAGTTTGCATACAGGTTTGTATTGGGCGTGAGGATTTAACGTATGTGCACATTTTCTTTTGTTTAAATACACATTAGACCTCATTGCAGCCATATAATAGCCACAGGACAGTTTTATCTCAGGAATTTCTAGAACTGCTGAATACACTGTGATCTATAGAGCCCCCAAATACAGCTGGTCCCCAAGTTACGAATGCATCGACTTACAACCATTCGTATTTACAACCAACCTCCTATACAGCCAGAACACGAACTACGAACAGCACGGCCATATGTATGTGAATGCAATCCAACTTACGAACAGATTGAGTTACAACCTAGTGTTTGGTATGTAACTCGTTCGTAAGTCGGAGACCGGCTGTAACATATGTAAATACATTTAGGCTATGTCTACACTGCAGGCTTCTTGCGCAAGAACTGTTTTGTGCAAAAAGGCTTCTGAAAGAGCATGTCCACACTGCCAGGTGCTTTTACACAAGAGTGTCCATGGCAGTGTGGATGCTCTCTTGCGCAAGAATGCTCTGGTGGCCATTTTAGCCATCAGGGTTTCTTGCGCAAGAAACCCCTGTTGATCTTCCACACTGCCTTCTTGCACAAGAGCTCTTGTGCAAGAAGGCTTATTCCTCATGGGGAGAAGAATAACACTTGTGCAAGAAGCCCTCTGTTCCGATGCCTTACTGTAAATTTACTTGTGCAAGAACGTGCGTGCAGTGTAGACGCTCCACAAGTTTTTGCCCAAAAACAGTTGTTCTTGCTCAAAAAGCCTGCAGTGTAGAAGTAGCCCTAATGTATTGGATGGCCACAGTTGACTCTCTTGGGCTATCAATCCTAACACTGTTCTACACTTGTTAAAACAGCTCTCTTCTTTGATATGCTAGTACATATCCCAGTCTCTGTGACTTTCACTTTATGCATCTGACAACCAGTTTTTACCCTCAAAAGCTTATGCCCAGAGGTGCATTGCTTCATCTCTGGTAGACTTTACTCTCTCCATGTGGTTCTTCATCAACTGTCAATTGGGGAAAATGATGCAGACCCTCTGTTGGGACATGTATGATAGTCTATAGATTACATACAAAATAACCAAGCACATTGTTTATCTTTAAACCCACATGCTGAATGGCTTACGATGTATTGGTTATGTATCATTGTTCGGCACATTAGATGAAATATGGAGATCAAGGCTGGGTCCACAATAGGAGCACCTTGCCAGTAAAAGTACTCTTAGACCTTGTTTACAGTGGCATGTTTTGTCTCCAAAAACTGCCTTTTGGTGACAAAACAGTAAGTGTTCACACTGCAATGCGACACTTGTCAGAAAAAACACCCAACAAAGACTTTTTTTCCCCACCCTTTATCATCAACAAAGAGCCAGTGTGGATTCTGCTGTTTGTTTAGTTCAGAGAACTGACTTCCCCCAGTATCCCACAATGCCTGGCGTGATGGCTCTGCTCAGTGTTTTGTGATCTCTGCTGTCCTGCAGGCATGCACTTCTCCCCTTTCAACGCTCTGAGCAGTATCTGACAGCTGAGTATGCTGCTCATTTTGGGGAACAAAGAACACATCATTCAGATGTTCCCATTCTGTCCTGCTAGGAACACAGCAGCAGACAGACTACTGCTGCAGGGGCAGGGCTGGGGAGACTGCTGTGCTTATTTGGCATTCCTTCACAAGGAGAGCTCACAAAGCTACAAGGGAATCCCAAAGACTCACAGGGATCAACTCTGCTTTCCCACAACACTGCACTGTGGAAAGCTTACCCACATTGCTTTGTTCTATCTGTGGAACAAATAGTTTTTTCTAACAATATGGCTATGAAATGTCAATAACAGGAGAGAGAAAACCCGGTTTGATTGTTTTTCACTTTTGGGGACTTTTGCATGTCGATAGCACCTTCATCATCAAACCTTCCCAGTACACATAGCCGTAGTGGGTATAGCAAAATAAGCTATACTCTCAAAAGTGTAATGTTGCTAGTATAATTCCCTCTATTCTATGTAGTTCTGCTGGCAGAGCTATGTTTAGCAAGGATCCCATCCTCTATTGACAATGCTATGCCAGCAAAGTACAATGACTTGAGCAGAGCCTCTCTTTGCGTCTCACTTACATGCTGTTCTTTGTATAGAGACTGGACTAGAGCCTGATCTAAACAGGTTTTTTTGTTTTGTTTTTATTTAACTAACAGGAATGTGATTTTCTAGCAAACCAGCTGTCCCTTTAACCTGTAGTATGGACAGTTTTATGGATATGAAAGTTGCCTGGGAATGGTGTAACTGTTTTCCCTTCCCTGAATATACCAATTTAATTGCATTCACCTTAAAGGGACAGATCCTTTAAGAAGTAGAGTGAGTGTGTTGGTTTTTTTTTTTTTTAAACAAACCCTTAGATTGACCTTTATTTATAACTCTCCTTTTCCTTGTGGCATTGCCACCTGTAATAGGTATACATAAAATCACAAATACTAAGGTGGAGGAACAGCTAGTTACACTTTAGGAATTAAAAGGAACATTGCCCACTTAACAGACATGTTTCCTTAACTCTATTATAAGAGCTTTAAAATTAGTTTTAAAATCTAGTTTTCTTTTATAATACCAATAAAGCTCATGGACTCTAAGATCAGAAAGGGACCATCATGATCATCTAGCGCAGGGCTACTCAACTTTGGAAGCTCTGGGGGCCACAATAACACTCATAGCACATGTGAGGGCCACAACTTAAGCGTGGTTGCACATTCATGCAAATATATGCAAATAGCTTCCTTCACACTGACAGGCATGAATACATAGTTTAAGGAAAGATTACATAACACGCAGGCCTCTAAGTCAGTTCTGCTGATATTAATAAAATGCAATACTTACCTGATTTCCAACCATATGACAGCACTTTTAATGAGTAATGACAGTCCAGGAATTTAACTAAAACATATCAACAGAAGACCATTATATTGACTACTATTTTTTTGTTTTGGCTTCCACCTGCGGGCCACATGTACCCAAACTGCACCGCAGGCTGCAAATAAATGGGCCTTGGGCCACAAGCGGCCTATGTGTTGAGTAGCTCTGATCCAATCTAACCTCTGGCACATTGCAGGCCACAAAACCTTTTACTCACTCCTATAATAGACTGCTAATCTCTGCCATTTATGCGGTTTACTTTCTGCATTACTGTGACCTTGGACAATGAAAAGACTAGTCACTTCCCCTAGTAGGCTTGAAGCAGTCCCCCAATCTTGCATTTGTAAAACCCTGAGCACAACAATCTTCAGAAAGTTCTAAGTAGATGTCCTCTTAAAAAAGTATTTCACAATCTTTCAGGTGTTAGTCTCAACACTCATGTGAGGAAGGCAAAGGCTACTAGCCTCATTTTATAGCTGGGGTACACACAATAAGTGACTTTCCCAGGGTCACTAGAAAGTCTACAAGAGTAGGGAGTTAACCCATGTGATCCAAATTCCAGGTTCATGCTCTAGTCTAATCACTTGACTATCCTCCTTCTCTGACACGAGTCACTGTCTCCCTTTGTCTTGTTTTCTATGACTAGACGTCAAACAATCTTAAACTGAACTTTAAAATCCCAAAATGTGTTTTGTTTTTAGGCACAAAGTATGCAGTACCCAACCTATGAGGTAACTTACTGATTTCTAGCCCATCTTTCCATCTGCGACACTTCCCTGCCTCATAGCTAGAGGACTAGATATTACCATGTTCCAGCTGCACTACATACTTCAGAGATTAAGGAAAAGTGAAATATGACCACAAATAGTTTAGGGCCCTGGCTTGCTGACTTCCATTAAAGTTTGAGTTTTATTTGGAGGAATGGAAAAGAAACTAAAAGTTAGAAAAATGTGCAGAAATCAGAAGAATAAAGTATTTTCAAGTCAAACCAGATCATGTGAGACTGAATTCAGTCCATAGTTTCAAATGAAAGCAAACTGGGTAGACTGTTTCTAGCATAAAAATATAGGTGAGAGAAGTTAGATAATTTGAGAGCAATGTATAATTTAGCTATAATACTGCCATCTGTCTAGAAGAGGTTTAATAACAGGCAAATTCCCCTTTACAACCACTTTTAGGATCAGAGAATATAGTTTGCAACAACTGGAACTGTACTGAGACATTAAGCATGAAACAGATGTTAAGAAACCATTCCCTCTAGCCAAAGGCTATGAAAAGGCACTGATTTAGTTCAAATCCCCAAGACTAGGAATACAAGAGAGAGTGAAAAGATTACCAGAAACAACAGAAGGGTGTCCTTGTGCTTCTTTGGAATAGAATCAGAGCAAAGTACAAAGGACACTAGAACATCAAACAGATGTTAGCTGGTTGTCAGGGCAGATTCATGTAGAGCAAGGTCATCTCAAGACTATTACTGACTGTTTATGATTATCTCTTACGCTTGCTTTAAACCATTTATGAAAGCCCTTAGTTTAAACTATTATTGTAAGATATTGATGCTACCCCACTATCTGCTAGTGAGAAAGTCTAATTCATACTATTCAGAGTTCCATTTTTTCCCCCCTCCATAGAAGATTAGATTGTGCATCATGATGCAAACAAGAAGTAAACTGCTCAGGCTAAGTAGTTACCCATCAAGAGTCTCCACCATAAATAGTCTCTGCTACCCAAACCTTCCTTCTTCTTTCACCTAGGCTGTCTCTAGACTGGCAAGTTTTTCCGGAAAATCATCTGCTTTTCCGGAAAAACTTGCCAGCTGTCTACACTGGCCACTTGAATTTCCGGAAAAGCACTGACAATCTCATGTAAAATCATCAGTGCTTTTCCGGAAAAACTATGCTGCTCCCGTTTGGGCAAAAGTCTTTTTCTGAAAGACTTTTGCACAAAAGGGTCAGTGTAGACAGCATAGTACTGTTTTCCGCAAAAAAGCCCCGATCGTGAAAAAGGCAATCGGGGCTTTTCTGCGGAAAACTGCGATTAGATTGGCCACGGACGCTTTTCCGCAAGAAGTGCTTTTGCAGAAAAGCATCCTGCCAATCTAGGCGCACTTTTCCGAAAATGCTTTTAACGGAAAACTTTTCCGTTAAAAGCATTTTCGGAAATTCATGCCAGTGTAGACGTAGCCCTACTGACAAGACAAGCCCTTTGATAACATTAAAGAATACTTATTTGGGCCTAGGAATGAACCTGTGATGGCCATTTTAAATTATAGATTGCAGTGGAGAAAATAAATGCCTAAAGTCTTATTCTTCCCATCCACTCCCACAGCTGGAAGAAAACACATACTCTTTGGAATCAAGCCCTTCAAGGACTTAGAAGAAAGGGAGAAAATAAAGTTATGCCAGTTTATACCAGCTGGGGATCTGGCTCTTAGACTATTAATGCTGAGTAAAATATAAGAAGTGATCATGTCTCACATCTAATTCAAAGATATTAGTAATGTAAAAATGTGATTTTGCTTGGAAGCATCTCCTGAGGTTAAGATAAGAGTTCAATTTGGTTTCTCTACAATGAAACAGAAAACTGCAATACTTCATATAATTTGTACAAATATGGTTGATGTACAGCCATTTTAACAATGGGACAAACTAATACAAGTACATAAGAACACTTTTAAAGATGTAAATATACATTGATTTTTTGAAGTTTATTTTTTAAGCTTAAAACACAAAGATGAGCAGTTTTCAGTTTTTAATTTTAAATAAGTTTCAATGGTACTATAAAATCAACGTAGTCTGCTCGGACTTGGATTACGCCACCAATTTTCTTTAGTGGGGTGATTAACTGTAACGAAGACATGACTATATAGTTGGAGAACACTTCAAAAGACCTGATTCAAATTTATGTTTTCCAAAAGAAAGGATTCTGGGCCAGTCGTCTTTGGAAGTTCTCATACCTAGAAGAGACAAAAGTTTGTCACAATTAATATGGCTTCTCAATAATGCAACTCAAGATTTTTGGCTTTCCATTTTCCTAACCATTGCTAAAGAGCTAGTCTAGATGACAGATTAAGTAATCTGTACAGAGGCAAGGTTTACATATCTCTCCCCTGCCGCTGCACACGCACATGCAGAAAACTCCTTGAATACATCTTCCCCCTGGATGGTTCTCTCAAGCCCTGCTTTCCCAGTCATGCTTCAGGCACTCTGAGATAGAGATGTATATTCCATTATATCATTACCTTTACAGTGTAGCTAATTAAAACTTAATAAACCAAACATGTCATGAATTATATACTAAACTACATTAACAGTATTCAGGTTGCACAGTCCAGCATGCAAAAGTTAGAAAATGCCAGTTTAAGGTTGCCCATTTATCCTTATTTCTGTCCTCTGAGTCCATCCTGTACTATAAATGAGGCTCTTGATCATGTGGAAAATATTGTATCTGATTATGTAACTGAAGACTAACACATATGCATCACTCCTGATAACTTAACAGACACTGTAGCTCAGGAACAGACAGCATATGTTCTGCTTTCCCATAGTTAGTACAATTATAAAGAGCAAAGGCGGCTTCTGGAATCAGCCACAAACTGCAGGTAGCGACTAAACTGTCTAGTAGCAAACAATGAGAAAAGTACAGCATTTTAATTATCCAAGTTTAGTATTTACAGAGGCTACATAGAACAGAATACAAGGAACTACTCTAGAGTAGCTAAATCAACAGAAGAACTTTTAGTTACATAGCTTCAAAGTAAAGCTACTGTATGCCATGAAAGTGAATTCAGTGCTATGAAATTCACAATTCTGGAGCCTAGAAATAAGATTATTACTTGAGGTATTTTTCCTTTACCATTTCAGAACAACATTTGCAGGGATGAAAGCTTCAGAGGGATTTGGTGTCATCTGTGCCTGAGTAACTGCAAATGATGAGGCAAAGTTATAGAAGCTATCCAGCATCTTCTGGGTGAACTGAAATACAAAAAAAAAACATATTGTAAATCAAATCCATATTTACAACTTTGATCATGGTTTTCATTTTTAAAGTACTATTCCAATAATTAGCTAATCTTCAAGCCTCATGTTGGGTGGATTAAGTCTCTTTTACACATGGGGGAAAGGAAAGCAGAGAGGTTAAGTGAAAAGGAAGTCTATGTTGGAAAAGGAGAGGATGTAGCATTACTAGCTCCCACCTCTACCCTCAAACACGGCCTATTCCAAGAGAATGTATCTTAGAAACTAAATATTTTGACTTTTATTCATTTGTTGTTTCTTTTCAAAGGCTTAGTTTCCTGGAGCAAATTTCTGAAGAAAATCCTTAAACAACCTCAAGATAAACAAAATTTGTAAAATCGTGTGGGAGTAATGGATGATGTAGTGAGAAGACTTGGGCGTTGTTCTACAAACTACACTAGCAAATTAGTGGCAGCCTATCAATAGTACCTGTTGATGATGATTTTGCCTACAAGGATCTCGTTTTCTGTATTGTTCACTTAGAGATAATTCCATGTAAGAAGAGGTTACTTACCTCTAACTGTAGGTTCCTTAAGATGTGTAGTCTTTATTTGTATTTCACTATGGGTTCTGTATATGCACCCTGAGCCCAGAGTTGGAGAACTTGAAAGTAGCAGTTTTTGGTTTGTGCATGCATCCTGGCTGGCCTTATGATTCTGACCAAGGAGACAAAGGGTGGGATAGACCAACTGCTACTTCACATCCTTCACCACCACAAATCAGATAAGATCCAAAGTAGAGGGAAAAGAGGAGGGCTAATGGAAAACATATAGGGAACACACTTCTCAAAGAATCTCCATTGCAGGTAAGTAACTTCCCCTTCTTTGAGTGATGGTCCCTATAGTATTCCACTCAGGGGCTGTCTCTAGACTGCAGGATTTTTTCGAAAAAAGTAGCCTTTTTTCGAAAAAACTTCACCTGCATCTAGACTACAGCTGCATTCTTTCAAAATTAAATTGAAAGAATGCGGCTTTTCTTTCGACGGCGGTACTCCTCATTTCACGAGGAATAACGCCTTTTTTCCCCCTGAAAGTGCTCTTTCGAAAAAAGGCGCTATGTAATGCAAACTGTGCTTTTTCGAAAGAGAGCATCCAGACTACCTGGGTGCTCTTTCGAAAAAGCAGCTTGCTTTTTCAAAAGTACTGATTGTAGTCTAGATGCTCTTTTTCTAAAGAAGCTTTTTCGAATGTATCTTTCGAAAAAGCCTTTTTCGAAAGAGGTTTGCAGTCTAGACATAGCCAGGGTGTTTGACAAGCAGTACCTAAGTAAGAAGAGGTGAACAAATGAAGATGGTAGAATTGAGTGGGAAATTGCCATCCCAAATGAAACCTCAGTAACTGAATCTTATACCAGAAAGTAACACTATGCAAAAAGTTGGATGGAGCTCCATGTGGTGGCTTTACAAATGTGATGGGGCGAGGCAGCCCCGCATTGAATCCACAGGACCCAGCCAGGGTTACCTGGCTGCCGAGGCCCTTCCCCCACAGCCCTACCGAGCATGCCCAGGCTGCACCTCAACTATAAAAGCCTGGGGAAGGGCTCAGTCTTGGGCTGACAGCTGGAGAAGGACCTATGAAGGAAGATCCTGACCAGTAGCGACCCGAGACCCCAGAAGTAGTAAGCGGAGATGCCGAGGTGAGTTGGGGGCATCACAGAGGCTGCCCACTAAGGAGACGTCATCCCAGGGAGGACAGCAAACCTGACAAGTACATGGGAAGTAGCTCCAGCGGACCAGGTAGGAAGTGGCCCAGTGCAGGAGCGGGAGCCGCCTCTCCTGCTCCGGGATTTTTCCCCGAAAGTGCTCTTTGGAAAGGGAGTGGCATGCCGTCCTGTCACTCATTGGCCCTGGGCTGGGACCCGGTGGAGTAGGGTGGGCCCGGGTCCCCCCTACCAGGGATGGGGCCCTCTATCACCCTGTTCTGCCAGTGCAGGCCTTGCCTTAAAGGGCACTGAGACTGTGTTTGTGGACTCTGGCTGGAGGGCCTTGCCTTAAAGGACTATACAGAGACTGTACTCATGGACTTGGGCCCGTGAGCCAGGTTCTAGAGGGATAGTCGGTATCTGGGTTTGTGGACTTGGGATTCCTCCCTGTCTGCCAGAGGAGACAGGAAGGAGCGCCCCACCACAGAGGGGTACCTCCTGAAGAGATGCAACAGTCATGGCTGGAGCGCTCAGGGACGGAGGGAGGTTTGAGAGCTGACAGAGCAGAATGCAAACAGATAGCCAATTGGAAATTCTCTGGATGAAGACAGCATAACCTCTGACTCTCTCTGCTACAGTGACAAATAGCCTCAGTGACTTTCTGAATAACTTTGTACTCTGCAGGTAAAAGGCCAAGGCTCCTCAAACATTTAAGTGGAGCCTGTGCTCTTCTTTGTATGCTCTCTGCTGTGTCCAAGATAAGAAGCATTTCCAATTAGATTGGCAACATTTCCTAGATGCGTCCTTTCTGCTATTAAAAAGGATGTCTCATAAGGCCAAGGAGCACTCCAATTCAAGGTCTGATAAACACCCTGAGGTGAAGCAGTAGTGGATTGGGGTGCCTGATCCTGCCATTGCACCTGGTCAGAAGCTATGGGAAGATTGGGAAACTAGTCAGATGATGAGATGACAGGAATAGGAGGTTGGGGAACCAAAGTGTCTGGGCCAAAAAGGGGCAACCAGGAGGACTGGCACCACATCCTGGCAAATTGTATGTAGTATTCATGGCAGAAGCAGTAGAGAAAGGAAGGCATAGTTAAACTGATATGACTAGGGGAAAAAGAAAAAGGTCACCCTGGGAACATTAAGCTAGGGCTCCACTGGAGCAACACGTGGCACATCTGGTTGCCCAGAAAGAGAACAGATCCCTGGTTGGGGTTTGCCATCATGTAAAAATGTCATGAAGCTCCATGTTGTAAAGTTCTCACTTGTGGTCAATCAGAAAGTGTCTGCAATCAAGTTCTGCATCCCTAGACGGGAGGCTGCAGATAATGCATCAGCAGTCAGATCACCCTATTTCCAGAGACTGACTGCTTCACAGAGAGGCAGATCTTGCTCCCCTTGTTTGTTGATGTAAAAAACCACTCTAGTGTTGTCTGAGGACATACATAGAGTTGATGCAAGGAAGGACTCACATGCCTTCCATATCACCCATAATTCCAAGACCCTAGAGTATATTCTGTACTCTCGAGATGTTACCAGTGCAGCCCACATGGGCTCCCCAACTTAGCTGCATCTATAATAATATTATTTGTCTAGGAAGGAGGGGAGAAAAAGGGCCCCTAAGCATAGCAAGGAGATCTCTTAGTGGGAACTTTCAGTGTGAGGTTCAGAGAATGGCAACTTAGGGAGTAAACTAACTATAGCCATGCCTAAAGGCAACAAAGGTTTTGTCTTGCAAATGGAGTGACATGGGTGGGATATCGCTGAAGCCACCATGCCATCGGTGGTGGGGACAATGATGGTATCCGGCCATAAGCTGGTGGATTTTTCATACACACATAATATATATCTCTAGAATGGATTTAGATGAAGACTTAGTCTCATGGTTCCCAATCTACTGACTAGGCTCCACTGTGGAGTGGATCTTCTAGCACAAAAGTCATACTTTGCAGCAGGATGTTCATGCCTTGCTGACTCATTCCCATGGATTGAGGCAGGGGAAGAGGTGTGGAGCAGTCCCCAGCCGAGGTCTGATTGAAGCTTCATGATGGACTCGAAGAGTTACTTACAGAAGTCAAGTGCCCGTCCTTCTCAGGCACGGCTGGTCAAGGACTCAAACACTGTACTGAGTTTGGGCCACTTCCAGACAGCAGAGGCTGAACTGATGGTCATCACTGACTGAAAAGGAGGATTGCAGGCAGAAGGCACAGAGTTTGAAGCTCAGGACATAGTGTGGTATCCAAATGGGACATGGGGGAGAATGGAATACAGGGGAGGGACTCCTCACAGCCTAATCTAATTCTAAAATTATCAAAACTATTAAAAGTTATTAAAATTTCTAAATCTACAAACTATTTACAGCTAAAATAAAAGTGTTCTTCAGAAATTATGTAAGAACGAAGGACAGTAAAGATTCTGACTCTGACCATGTTGAGGTGAGCAGGGACTCAGAAGGTGGTCAGTCTACCTTGATCTCTATCACCTCAGTCAGACGCATGAGACAAGCCAGGGTCCGTGCATGGACCAATGGACAGTATTTTCAAATTTTCTGACTCGGGGTACGTAGAGTGCCTGAGTAATCAACAGTGGAATAAAACAGAGACTATCACTTGAAGAAAAATCCAAATTCAATGCAAGATAATTCCATTTAATTTTTAGTTTGATATAAAAGAAGATTCAACATAAAATGGAACAAGCAGCAGTCATATTACTCTTTTTAATACAGGCCAGTTGCAACTGTTCCTTACGCAAACTGGTCCTTAACCAGCAATTATCTCTAGTCATAATCTCTAGCTTTGGAGTAACCATATTCTTGAGAAACAGTATGAATCTTTGCCAGTACCGTATAGGTGTGGCAGCAGAGCCACCTTGTGGATATACAGCAAGAACTGACAGGAGTTCCAACAGCATAGTTAAAAACACCTCCCTGAACAACACTAAGCCAACAGAAATACTCTTCCATCAACATGGATCTGCATGGGGAAGACAGCTGTTAGCATTGTTGTGTTGGCCAGCAAGAGTGGATTTTTTTTTCCACCCCACACTTCTAGCTAACACAGCTATGCTGACAAAACTTTGTAGTGCAAAATAAAACATAAAAATATATTAATTAAGCTTGGAACAGACTTGTAAAAAGTAATTTTCAGATATCAAATGCCTCTCCCATAACTGTAACTACTGTGAGTTGTCCACTATCAGAAAGACATATTACTGGGCTAGAGAGTTTTTGGTCTGACCCCGTATGGCTGTTCTTTTTTGGTAGTTTGTTAAGAATAGAAGACATTAGTTTCTTTGGCAATTATCTCACAAGGCACATTTTCTTAGTGGTACAACAGGCAGTAATGGAAGAACTGATGCTTCAGAGAAATATTGTTCAGAAATCATTCTATATTTCTATTCTCCCTCCCCATGCATGCTTAAAATATTTACTTAAGCTTCAGTGGGGTAGCCGAATTAGTCTTTAAAGTGCTACCAGACTACTTGTTGTTTAAGTTTCTCCTGTTACAGACTAACAAAATATGTAGATGGTATCATAAGCTTTCACGGACACAGCCCAAAGTGGCTGTGCCCATGAAAGCTCATGATACCATCTACATATTTTGTTCGTCGTTGAAGTGCTACCAGACTCATTCCGATGGACTGCGGCAGGGGGAGAGATGTGGAGCAGTCCCCAGCCTGGGTCTGATTGAGGCTTCATGATGGACTCCAAGAGGTACTTACAGAAGTCAAGTGACTGTCCTTCTCAGGCACAACTGGTCAAGGACTCAAACACTGTACTGAGTTTGTTGTTTAAGTTTTTCATATTTACTTAAGAGAATTTGTTTAGGTGCACTAGTTGTGCCTGTTGAGTACTCCTCACTTGAAAGTCTGACGGGTAGCCATGTTAGTCTGTAAGTTTAAAAAAAAAAAAAACATCTTAAACAATGAATGGTCCTGTAGCACTTTCGAGACTAGCCAAAATATACACATAGTATCATGTGCTTTCGTGAGTACAACCCATTTCTTCAGATGACAAATGTGGAGCAAGAGACAAGGAAACTTGCACAGATCCAAATAGACATCATCTTCCTATCCAAGTGCAAACAGATGAACATCATACCCAATGAACTCCAAAAACATGTCTTGGATGAGCTGTTATATTCAAAACCCAAATGACATCAAAAGTTAACTATCAGGTACTTACAGCTCACTCTATTAGCTTCATTTAGCATGTACAATTTAATAGACAGTTTTCTGGGTTTCCCCCCTCCTTTTCTGCTATATATTTGGACCCCTGGACTCCTTGTTCCATATTTGTCATCTGAAGAAGTGGGTTATGCCCACAAAAATTTATTATACTATCTATATTTTTGGTTAGCCTCTAAGGTGCTACAGGAACATTCATTTTCTAAGTTTTTCCTCACTTGAAAATCATTCTGAAGTTCATCATACCTCCACGGCTAGTTGTGATGGCAGCCTGAAATCAGCAGTCATTAACACAGCTAATGTGTTAGGCTTTTTAAAGTGCTAGGGAGTCATTGTTCCCATCACATCACAGATATTAACTTCAGTGCAGTTGATCATAAATGCCTGAAAAGTTTCTGTAGAACTGAAGCAACAATTTATTGTCTGGCTGAAGCCAAAACAGGGTCTGTCCCAAGCAGCTGCAATTAGCATAATTTCCTGTGGTTCTGTACACTCCTCCCCTTTCTCTCCTCAATTACCCACATGAACATCAAAAATCCATTTACTTCCCCATTAGAGGAGTCTCAAGAGATGAGACATTGCTTAATTCTAGGCCCAAAATATAGTAGTCCTAAGTATGGAGAGCTGTTTCCCCAAGACAAGACAATGGGTGGCAGAGTGAAGATTCAAAGGTTCCTTTCTACTGACTCAAGACTGGGAGGAGAAAACGGGCCAGAGGTACCACTCAGATGCTGGAGCACGAAGAAATTATGGTTAAGGCAAAGGGAATATGTATCCAGTTGAGCATGAAGCAAAACAGAGAGCAGCATGGGACATATCAGACTCTCTTCACCAGTACCAAAGCTATGAACATATCACACCAGCAAGAAGCAGGAGGATCCAGCTAGCTAAGGCTGCCACACAAGCCTGCTGATAGTGATATCACAATATCTGCCTCAAGCAGGCCAACAGCTTTGGCCATTCCCACTGTTCCCCAAGTAGCAGCCCTGAGCTTCAACATGCAGCACAATCTTGGATCAACAGTAAGTTTCTTCAGAGTGTGTTGGCCTGGTTATTGGAATATTCATTATAGGACTACATTGGCTTAAGACCAAACAAAAGTGTCTGGAACAACAGTCAGGAAAGAAAATGGCTCAAGATAAGCCATTCCTCAGCAAACACTTGAGCTGTTAAAGGACAATGCCAGAATCACTGGTTCATTGTCCTGCAGTGCTACAGGATTAGCTTTCAACATGAGAGTCAAAGTTTGGGAACACAGGAGAACAAAAAAGGGGGCTTAAAAGGGACCCTTTCCTCAGAACAGTGGGTGTTCAGGGGAACCAGACGGAGGATTGATTTACACTAAAACATACTGATCTGGTTAGGTCCTGTGATGGTGTTGCTGGTGTATATATGTGGGCAGAGTTGGCACCGAGGTTTGTTGCAAGGATTGGTTCCTGAGTTCGAGTTATTATGGTGCGGTGTGTAGTTGCTGGTGAGAATATTCCACTACATGCATCTGACGAAGTGGGTCTTTGCCCACGAAAACTTACGCTCCAACACTTCGGTTAGTCTATAAGGTGCCACAGGACTCCTTGCCGCTTATACTATGGACAGTTACATTAGTCAGGAGAGTGAAAAAATACCCCCCTGAAGACAGTTATGCCAGCAAAATTCCCAAAGGCAATATGGTGCTGGCAATGGAAGAGCGATGAGGAGTCCTGTGGCACCTATAGACTAACTGAAGTGTAGGAGCATAAGCTTTCGTGGGCAAAGACCCACTTCGTCAGATGCATGTAGTGGAAATTTCCAGAGGCAGGTATAAATATGCAGGCCAGGATCAGGCTGGAGATGACGAGGTGGATCCAATCAAGGAGGATGAGGCCCACTTCTAGCAGCTGATCTGGAGGTGTGAATTCCAAGAGAGCAGAAGCTGCTTTTGTAGTTAGCAAGCCATTCACAGTCTTTGTTTAATCCAGAGTTGATTGTGTCAAACTTGAATCAGCCATACTGTCACTGGTACATTCTCCTGCACATCTACCAACATAATATATGCCATCATGTGGATTTTTCATACCCCAAGAGACAGTTATGATATTGGTCCGACATGCAGACCTGGCCTAATACTAGAGATACATTTAGTCAGTCAGTCAGTCTCTCTCACACTCACACAGCTTTGTGCATACTACTAAACAAAAGTTTTGTTTTAAGAAAGGTATTTGATCACTGTACACAACTGCTCCAACTCCTAAGGGAAGAACAGCAGGTGTCCAAACTCAGTCAGGGTAAGCATAATTGACACACAGTACTGTAGCTCAGTGTTAGTGTAAAAGTGGAGGAATTACAGTGAAATTGGTAAAGGGAGGAGGCCTACAGCAGGGGCAGCTGAAGACACTATGAAGGGGACAGAAGTGCAGATGCACTTAACTGTTACTCTGAAAGAAGACTACCTTACCATTTGAGCTAATATTCCACCCCAAGTGTTTCCCATCCCCCAAGTCTAGGCACTGTATTTTAGGCTCCTAACTGTTGGGGGAACTTTAGAATCCTACTTGATCTATCTTTCTACAGCACCAAAACCTCAGTTTCTGTTCCTGTGCTGGAAAGACCTAAAAGAGCCTTTTAAAGTATGGTAACTTTACTTGAGTTATACATCATGAACATAGAACTATTTGACTGAGGATGGAAATATACCAGCATTCCACTTAAGTATGTAGAATACTGCAATGGTAAAAAATGCACAATTTTTATATTTTCCTAAGGAAAAATCTTATTTGAATAAATAAACTACCAGACCAAGATTAGCTTGACGACATATAATTGGTGGCTATAGTTTTGGAATTACTTGCGGTAATTTTTCACACCTGCCTTGACAGAGAGCTTGATTCTTAATGGGCTCTTACACCAAGAGCGAAAACCTGATGGAAACAATGCTTTTAAATTACCTGAGTGAATGAGTCTACTGATGATACAGCAGCACTTGCTACCGGGGTCTGCTGAGCCAAATTTTCTAGCAATTCCACTGAGATCCCAATCTGGGCTACAGATGGTGTCTGGGGGATGTTCATTGCTCCAAAGGGGTGTTGGCTGCCTTTCCCTGAAAGAAATAGCACAAGCAGTACAAATGTCAGACTTGGCATGAGGACAACTACCATGTTAAGTCAGTAAAATTTCTTATGAGTGAGGTGTCTTGTTACTTGCCAAGTAGACATCTTTACATACAAAATCATGGAAAACAATGGTGTACTGCTCATACTAATTGTGTGAAAAAATACAATGGATAATTTTAAAATACAGAAGTACCTTTAATCTTGCTAATAAAAAAACAGAGACACAATCCCTAACAGAACCTTAAAGGGAAGGAGTTTTATAAGGAAGAATTAATCAGTTTCTAAAATCCCCTAAGAAAACTAATCACTCCATTGAGCCAGTTGAGTTATATGTTTGTATATAAGATTCAGAAGCATTTGAACTGCTTGGTATTACTGACTTTTCCAGTACAACACCTCAACTACCTAACCCAGGTCACCACTTCCTCCTACCCCAGTTAACCACAAAAAAAAACTCTGCTTCCCCCCTTCCTCAGGTCACAGCTCCCTCCCAGATCCTGTACTCCTTCCTACAATCCTCCCCCAAGCCAGAATCCTGTCCTGCACCCACATCCCTTCCCGTATCCCAAATATCTGCCCCAGATCACAAACCTGTCTTTCACAAAGACTCCCTCAGACCCTACATCCCCACCTTTACCCCAGTTCCTTAACCTGAGCTCCCATCTGCCCCCAACTTCCCTCCTAGACGCCGCACTCCTTCCACAGAAAAGTGTAGCCTTTGACGACTTACCAAAATCTTGGAATTGTGCCCCCATCAAAACTTATTGCCCACCCCTCGGTTAAAAGATCAGCTAGAACTTGTATTGTTAGATTAGATGAAGGGTTCTCTTGGCCCTCTCAGTGAGATTTGTCCTGCATTCTATACCATAGATAATGTCATTACTTTGACGCTACCTCCTCTCCTCTCCCATCCCATCCCCAAGAATCCCAATACAGATCAATCCCCAAAATGATAACTTGTGCTCAGTGGCATAAAGACACAAAATTAAAGTGTCATTCTAGTTGAGTATGGACTTCTGGGGGTACTGTTTCTCTCAACTGCCACAACAGGTACCACCTCCTGCCCCCAGTTTACAAGAAGGAACAGTATAACTGCAAGCCTTGCAAACTCAACAATAGACCCCAACTCAAGGTTTGGTTTTGTGACTGGTTTAATCAATAAAGATTCTGCAACAGAAACTTTGTTAATAATTGTACTGATGTTCAAGAAAATGGTTCAGTGCTTCACAGACATGCTGGAAGGGCATAATGAGTGGGGTTCTGCAGGGATCAGTTGTGGGACCGGTTCTGTTCAATATCTTCAACTATTTACATAATGTCACAGAGAGAATCATAGAATGATAGAGCTGGAAGAGACCTCAGAAGGTCATCAAGTCCAGCCCCCTGCCCTAGGCAGGACCAATCCCAACTAAGAATGCTTATGATGTTCGCTGGTGATGCCAACCTGGAAGGGCTTGCAAGTACTTTGGAGAACAGGATTATAATTCAATTCAAAATAATCTCAACTGGAGAAATGGTCTAAGGATGAAATTTAACAGGGAAAAAGGCAAAGTTCTCCACTTTGTAATGGATTGGTTCTCCCTCACATACAAAATGGGAAGCGATTGCCTAGGAAGAACAACAACAGAAAGGAATCTAGGAGTCCTAGTGGACCACAAACTAATGAGTCAACAGTGTAACACTGCTGACAAAAAAGAAAAAAAAACCACCATCATTCTGGAATACATCAGCAGCAGTGTTGTGAGCAAATCATTAGAAGTAATTATTCTGCTCTACTGCACACTGATTAGGCCTCAACTGGAGTACTGTATCTAGTTCTGGGTGCCTTATTTCAGGAAAGATGTGGACAAACTGGAGAAAATCCAAAGAACAAACATGACTTAAATTCTAGAAAACATCATCTATGAGGAAAAACTGAAAGAATTGAATTGGTTTAGTCTGGAAAAGAGAAGACCAAGAGGGAACATTGTAACAGCTTTCCAGTATCTAAAAGGTTGTAATTATTCTCTCTAAACTCTAATGATAGGACCAGCAGCAGTACATTTAAATTACAGCAAGGACTGCTTAGGTTGGACATTAGGAAAAGCTTTCTAATTGTCAAGGTGGTTAAGCATTTGGAATAAATTGCCTACTAAGTTTGTGAAATCTGCATCATTGGAGATATTTAAGTGCAGGTTAGAAAACACCTGCCAAGGATGGTCTATATAGTGCTTGGTCCTGTCATGAATGCAGAGGACTGGATGCGATGACCTTTAGAAGTCCCTTTAAGTTCTATGATTCTATAAAAATTAAGATTCCAACTTGCTCTGCCAGATTTGGTTCTACAGCACTAAGAGTAGTAAACACATTTTACTCAAAGTGAACAGACATGACTAAATACACACAACAGATCTCACAAGTAATAAAGCCGCATTTTTCAATCAATTTTCATGAACTGCCACTTCGACTGAAGAAGAAAAAGAATGTGATCCCTATAGATGCCACTCTCTAAATTTTCTATGTATTACAGGTTGGATCTCCATTGTCCAGGTCCCAGATAAGGGAGTTTGCTGGACCAGGGAGGATCAGGGAGTGGAGAAGGGGTGCCATCTTCCCTGCTGGGCTCCTCTCCTGAGCCCTGCAAGCCCCAGCAGCTCCACAGGCTTCGGGCTCTTTTGGCCTGAGACCTCTTGCAGCCATGTGGGCTCCGACAGCCCCACAATCTCCAGCCCCCTGCAGGTTCTAGTGCCATGCAGGCTCAGCTGCCCTGCTCCACCCCCAGCCTCCAGGGCTCTCTAGTCCAGCAGCATCCATGGCACTGGACCAGAGACTCCCAAACTACAGAGGTTCAACCTATGCAGCTAATGAAAAATAGCAGCTGGTTCTTACTGCTTTTTGGTAGAGCTCTCAGTTGCTATCTTTGTTGTATCTTTAATTCTCTAACACTAGTTGATTTCAGGACCAACATTCTTAAGACCTACCTCAGTCAGAGGCCAGAAATGGTTAAGTCATCCTTGTCCAGCTTTGTCTCCTTATCTCTTGTCTATAGTTTTGACTGTTTATTACCTGCTTTGGAACACTGCCAGCATTGCAAAAGTCTTTCCATCGTAATTATTGCTTTTCATTGTATTAACTTCCTAAACCTTTATGGAGCCCAGAATGCGGCAGCCATATTAGTCAGTCCAGAACCATAGCCCACTATAACTTCTTATGACCAAATTAAAGTTAAGTCTCCTCATCGGAGACACAGAATAGCAGTGATCTTGCTGTTAAGAACATTATTCCTAAAGTTGTGCTCTTCAGTACTTTTCCTGCTATAAAGTGAACAAATCACTGACTGTTTTGCAAACTATAAAGTGGATGTACACATGTACACTGCTCACGGGTAAAGACTGTCATGAACTAACTCTGGAAAAAAAGCAAAACATTATAGATTTGCACTATTCTGTACCTGATTTCACCTCTGGTTTCTTGAAGCTGCAGAAGTCAAGGAATCTGATTTCTACAACCTCTGAGACAGAATTGCAGCCTTATGCATTAAAGCAGGGATGGGCAATAATTTTGAATGGAGGGCCACTCCAAGAGTTTGCTAAGAGGTCAAGGGTCGCACTCTTCCATATTAGTTGAGGAGTCTGGGGTTTGGGATGGCAGTTTGGGCAGAAGGGAGCGTGGGGAAGAGGACTGGGGTGCAGAAGGAGATGTGGGGCTGGAGGGTCGAGTTTTGGTGAAGGAGGGGGTTGTGACCTGGGGAGGAGTGCAGTAGAAGTGTAGGAGGGGGTACAAGGATTTGGGTTTTGACCTAGGGCATGAGGAGGTTGTGACATGGGACAGGGATTAGGGTGCAGGGTCTGAGAAAAAGTATTGGTGCAGGATAGGGAGTGCAGAGGGTTTGGGGCAGGAGTGCAAGAGAGGGGACAGATGGTTGGGGTACTTCGGCATCTCCCAGCCAGAAGCCAGGTGGGACCCTCAGGCAGGCTTCCTGACTGCCGCATCCCCACTCAAAGAGGCTGGCTGTAGGGGTTATGTGATCTCTGCATGCCATGTGCCCCTGGAAGTAGGAGAGACCTCCCCATCCTGCCTGCATTACAAGGAAACTGACCAATGGGAGCTGCAAGATTGCCTCTGGCTCCCAGCACAGTTTGCAAAGCTCCCAGGGTGTGTGGCATGCTGAAAGGACATGGATTCCAGAGCCAAGCTGCTTCGAGTGGGTGTGGCTCCCACTGAGCCATGGGCCAATGACAGGCCAGATGCAGTGATCTGGTGGGCCAGATTCATACGATGGCCCTTATTTTGCCCACCTCTGCATTAAAGGCTAGAGTTCACAAAGAAATAGCTATTTAATTAGAATAAATCACTACTCTGACATCCCACCAAAGTGAATTCTACTATAAGCTGCAGGGCTCTTACTATAGTTTAAAAGTAGAAGTGCGGCAGTCAGGACCTGGAGCAAATGGGGCTTGCTTACTACATTTAAAAGGCAAAGGCACTGAAGGGATAGCAAGTGCCCCTCCCCCTTATTGACTAATCGAGTAGCTGATGGAAATTCCATCAACTATTCAATTATCTGATTATCAAAACCCTAATCCTTATGGGACCCCTTTGATACACACCTGTTCAATGACTCCCTACTTACATTTTGAAATCTATCAAGTAGCTAAGTTAACCTTCACAGTTACATGCAAGCCCCTTTCCCCTTCCCTACACTGCCAGCTTTGTACCAACTCTCACGGCGACACCTCTCCCCACATACTGTATCAGAGGCGAAGCACAGGGCAGGGGAGGGCAGGAGCCAGTGCTCATGGGGGAACAGGCTTTCAAGCTGGCTCCCCAAGCATTGGCTCCTGAGGCCCCCTTGTGCTGCTACCTCTGATACAGCTGCCTCCCCCCTGCATGTAAATGTGTAACCGCTGAAATTTTCAGCAGCTACATATTTACCTAAGTGCATTTTAACATCTCTACCACATCCCTGACCATCTACGGTAACAACTAGTGAAGGACTGATCCTCCACGAACCTACCTCATTCTTTTTTTTTTGAACCAATTGTAATGCTGGCCTTCACAACATCCCCTGGCTACAAGTTTCACAAGTTTACTGTGCACAGTGAGATTTAGTAATAGGGTTCCTAGGTGCTTCACAGGACAATTTTTTTAATAAATAGCGAGACAATATGTTCCACTATCTTACTGCATATACTCATTTGAGACAGACAATGAAGTGGATTTTTAGTCTGCTTTATTATTTAACTGTTATATTTCACTGCTCTTACCAGATTTTAAACCAGAAATTTTGAAGATGGCACTCGGTTTCTCATTGGTGACAAACCCCAGGAGTTGCCACACTGCCATCCCACTCTGGTCAGGATAGCAGAAGTAGACAGATCCTCCCATGCCCTCTGGAAATGGGATAGTTCCCAGCATAAAGACCACAACATGGTTGATGTTTTCATAGTCAGGTAAATCAAATACAAACTTATCCTGGGCCACCTGTTGTGCCACTGCTTGCACCTAGAATATAAAATCAAGTTTTAGTTTAGAAATTTTAGTTTTTACCATGTGAGCCCTGTTTTCAGAAATCCATTTAGTGTTTGAAAGAAGAGGAAATGAGGCACATGCCAGTTTTAGTTTGTAAACAGACAAAGGAGCAAACACAACACATGGGAACTGTGCAATAGGCTGCTAAAAGGATTCAGAGTCCTTGTTCTAGCTATACAGGCTCTATAGCACACATAGGGCGGTAGTATCAGAGTACCTTGGTTCCCCATGTGGATAGTGGTAAAATGTGGTGCAGAAGAAGCCGCCAAGTCTATTAAGTAGTGGTTGTCGACCACATGGCTAGCAGAACCCTAATCATGGAAACCTGTTTAAATAAGAAATAAGATATGGCTTTATACATTTAGTTCAAGGCTAGCTAAATGTTAGGGCATAGAGCCACCCTTGTCCTTATTACCGAGTCCATGTACATGACACATCAGTACATGCTTCTTGATATAGATCGTTCCTACTCAGAATAAGCCACAACACAACACGCTTGGACCAGCCACCTCACAGATACCCAAACATCTATATTACCAAACAGGATTGTAGTCTGCTGCCACTTAGAGCAATCTACTGGCAAAACGACATTACACACCCCTCAGTCAATAAAATTTGGGTACCACCCTTTACGAGGGGAAGGAAGGCACACTGGCACGGGGTCTGCATAGAACTGGCACATCTGGAGAGTGAGGGAAGAAGACTCCGAACACATTTCCTTGGGAGCTGCTCCCAAGAAGCAAGGACGGGAGATAAGCGAGAGCCATCCCAGCCTGCAATCTGCCTGCCACAGGACGACCCTTTCCAAACTTCCTCACCACCACTGCTATCACCAGATATAAACACCCCGCACCAAGAGACACGCCTCCATAGGCTGAGCCCACACGTCCCTCAAGCACCCACCCCCACACCGCCCCCC